TGTCTAAAGTGCTGGAGCGGCTAGTTCTTGTTTCCACACTGTACAGGTGTTATTCTGTGTAGTCTTCCTGTGTGCGTGCCGCTGCTTGTCTTTACTACGTGTAAACGGTGTTCTAATGTGACTCATAGCAGCTTATAAATTATTTTAAATCGATGGCATATTATTCAAATAAAATTCTTTTTGTTTCATTAAAGTAATAAAGAGATGGATAAATAGGGATTGACGGCGTTCGAGAACAAAGTGCTCAGGGGAATATTTAGACCCGCGAGGAAAGAGCTGACAGGAGTCTGAAGGAAACTACTTGAAAAGTCCCATACTTTGTAACCTTCGCTGCATATTAGTACATTAATCAGATCAAGAGTGTGCGATTGGCGGGATTGTAGCAGGCGTGGGATAAATGAGAATTGCTTACAAAATGTGGCGAGGAATCTGAGAGGGAGATAACGCTTGGAATATCTAAATATAGGTGGCAGGATAATATTGAAATTAAGATGTAAAAAGAAAAGTAAAATTTCGCCTTTGCTTAATTAATAAAGCGCTAGGCCATGAAGACGAGGGGGAGTTCAGGTATAGCTCTAGCTTTCTTGACGTCGATACTAGATGAAGGAGATTACCCAGCTTCACGCTTCTACCGCTTTATCCCCGGGGAAATAACCTCCAGTACTCATTGGATAAGAGGCTGAATATTGAATCTGTTTAAAAAAAAAATGGTGTGAGCATGTGAATTTGACTCAGTTCCCGTGTGGTAGATTTCAGTAGCCCACTTTCTTTAATGCTGTAGAATTAATGAGAATTCCGGTTGCATAAAGTTCGGGGTACTTTTTAAGAAGCGGAGCAATTTTTAGTCCATGGGTAAGAATTCCGATTTATGCAGTTGTTTATTTATTAATTTTCCATCGACTCTGGACATCCGGATTCCAAGTTCCAAATTCAGTTATCTTTACCGAGCTGTTAGCAGTTTTTCTTAGTACCTCCGAGAAGGTGACAGTAGGCTATAAAGTAGGGTAAAATGTCTCCTCAGTTAACAGTAGAATCATATATCGTTCGGTGCAAATAGTAAGAAGATTGAACGGTGAACCAAAATAATTCTTTGTTTTCTTACTTCTTGCGTTATATCACGCTATCTTTTGATATTTTAGATTTTCTTTTCCCACAGCACATGTTGTTTATATCAAGTTTATCTTTTATTTTATGATTCTTATATTTATTGTTTTACTTTTTATTTTATTTTTTGAAGTATGAAGGAGAAGTTATATTTCTAAAGAAATAAAAAATTCAACCTTCGATTTTCGACGCTACAAAAAAATTCACATTTATTGTGTCACGAAAGTATGTGGGTAGATTAGATTGTGTCTGTAGCCATTGTTTGCTGACGGTAGTCCGTAATTCTAAATAAAGAATGTTAAAATTGCAGTTACACCTTTTGTCTGGATACGAGACATCCAGTTTTTCCGCCCGTAATCTAAGTGACAGAGTGACAAGAAATGGCCAGCTGATGTCGACTGAGATGTTGGGCATTTGCACTTTGCAGATGTTGGGCATTTGCACTTTGCAGATGTTGGGCATTTGCACTTTGCAGATGTTGGGCATTTGCACTTTGCAGATGTTGGGCATTTGCACTTTGCAGATGTTGGGCATTTGCACTTTGCAGATGTTGGGCATTTGCACTTTGCAGATGTTGGGCATTTGCACTTTGCAGATGTTGGGCATTTGCACTTTGCAGATGTTGGGCATTTGCACTTTGCAGATGTTGGGCATTTGCACTTTGCAGATGTTGGGCATTTGCACTTTGCAGATGTTGGGCATTTGCACTTTGCAGATGTTGGGCATTTGCACTTTGCAGATGTTGGGCATTTGCACTTTGCAGATGTTGGGCATTTGCACTTTGCAGATGTTGGGCATTTGCACTTTGCAGATGTTGGGCATTTGCACTTTGCAGATGTTGGGCATTTGCACTTTGCAGATGTTGGGCATTTGCACTTTGCAGATGTTGGGCATTTGCACTTTGCAGATGTTGGGCATTTGCACTTTGCAGATGTTGGGCATTTGCACTTTGCAGATGTTGGGCATTTGCACTTTGCAGATGTTGGGCATTTGCACTTTGCAGATGTTGGCAGTGTTATCGACGTTTTAGGGGTTCATTTTGCTCCGATCTTCAGGTTTCACGATGGAAGGAGCAAATATCTCCAGAATTTCGGTAACACTGATCATTTCCACAAGGTGAAAGTACCTATCAGAAAGAAACACATCGTCAGCGAACGTCCGTGAACGTCTAAAATCATAGAAAATATTCTTATTAAATTTTTCATAAATTTTGAAAGAACTAAAAAGAATTACGAGTAATATTAAGTTCATGTACTCATAGAGGTGGAAATGACGAGTCCTATCTTCTAGTACATATGATGCCATGTAGGACGTTGAAAGTCAACCGATGTTTCGGAGGAAAATCTCACATCCATCTACAGGGTAAAAGAAGAAGTCGAGCAAGAAACCAGTATGTAAACAAGCAGCAAGCAGACAATCGGCCTGCCGAATGTATAATTTTTCATTTAATATTTGTTGTCAGTCAACTTAAATGAGTTTCATTCAGTCTTATTCAGTTTCATTCACTAAGATGTGAAATGTTGTATAAATATTACCGTTCAAGTATAGTTACACTCTACTAAGATTTAAAACTGATGATGTGTACTCTGTTTTGTTTAAATATGGTGTGTTATTTTGTGTGATGAGTGTGTTATTTGTGTTTTGTGTCTTATTGTAGGACTGCTGCCACCGGCTAAAAACCCATTTGGAGTTTAAATTAATAATAATAATTCAATTAAGTTCTTTATTGTTTATGTGCTGAGCCAACAACCGCAAGGCCAATTACAGACACAGCACAGTGTAGACAGAAGAAATAATAATAATAATAATAATAATTCAGTGTAATTGTTTATGTTCGTGCAAATAATAATAGTAAAAATTATACCATATTATAAAAATCGATTGAGGAGA